CCCCAGGGCTTTTCCGTTTACTGTAAAGTTCGCTCTTGAATTGAATCTTTCAAAATGCATTACCTCGCATTTGCCTGGATTGAACTCCATCTGCCATTTCTCCGCCCAACTCTCCAATCTATCTATATTCTGCTGCATTCTCCGACAGTCCCCTTCACTATCTGCTACTCCACCAATCTTAGTGTCATCTGCAAACTTGCTAATCAGACCATCTATACCTTCCTCCAGATCATTTACGTATATCACAAACAACAGTGGTCCCAACACGGATCCCTGTGGAACACCACTGGTCACAGTTTTCCACTTTGAGAAACTCCCTTCCACTACAACTCTCTGTCTCCTGTTGCCCAGCCAGTTCTCTATCCATCAAGCTAGTACACCCTGGACCCCATGCGACTTGACTTTCTCCATCAGCCTACCATGGAGAGCCTTATCAAATGCCTCACTGAAGTCCATGTATATGACATCCACAGCCCTTCCGTCATCTATCAACTTTGTCACTTCCTCAAAGAATTCTACCAAGTTGGTAAGACATGAACTTCCCTGCACAAAACCATGCTGCCTATCACCAATAAGCCCATTTTCTTCCAAATGTAAATAGATCCTATCCCTCAGTATCTTTTCCAGCAGCTTCCCCACCACTGATGTCAGGCTTACTGGTCTATAATTACCTGGATTATCCTTGCAACCCTCCTTAAACAAGGGGACAACATTAGCAATTCTCCAGTCCTCCGGGACCTCACCCGTGCTCAAGGATGCTGCAAAGATATATCTGATAAGGCCCCAGCTATTTCCTCTCTCGCTTCCCTCAGTAACCTGGGATAGATCCCATCCGGACCTGGGGACTTGTCCACCCTAATGCTTTTTAGAATACCCAACACACTTTCCTTCCCCACCCCCCACTTCCCCAATGCTGACTTGACCTAAAGTGATCAAACATCTATCCCTAACCGCAACATCCGTCATGTCCCTCTCCTTGGTGAATACTGACGCAAAGTACTCATTAAGAATCTCACTTATTTTCTCTGACTCCTCGCATAACTTCCATCCTTTGTCCTTGAATGGGCGAACCCTTTCTCTTAGTTACCCTCTTGCTCCTTATGTATGAATAAAAGGCTTTGGGATTTTCCTTAACCCTGTTTGCTAAAAATATTTCATGACCCTTTTTAGCCCTCTTAATTCCTCGTTTCAGACTGGTGCTACTTTCCTGATATTCTTCCAAAGCTTCATCTGTTTTCAGTCGCCTAGACCTTATGTATGCCTCCTTTTTCTTCTTTGCTAGTCTCTCAATTTCACCTGTCATCCATTGTTCCCTAATCTTGCCCTTTCTATCCCTCATTTTCACAGGGACATGTCTGTCTGTCACTCTAATCAACCTCTCTTTAAAAGCCTCCCACATATCAAATGTGGATTTACCCTCAAACAGCTGCTCCCAATCCACATTCCCCAGCTCCTGCCGAATTTTGCTATAGTTGGCCTTCCCCCAATTTAGCTCTCTACCTTTAGGACCACTCGCGTCTTTATCCATAAGTATTGTAAGACTTACGGAATTGTGATCACTATTCCCAAAGTAATCCCCTACTGAAACTTCAACCACCTGGCTGGGCTCATTCCCCAACACCAGGTCCAGTATGGCTCCTTCCCGAGTTGGACTATTTACAGACTGCTCTATAAAACCCTCCTGGATGCTCCTTACAAATTCTGCTCCATCTAAACCCCTAACACTAAGTGAATCCCAGTCAATGTTGGGAAAATTAAAATCTCCCATCACCACCACCCTGTTGCTCCTACATCTTTCCATAATCTGTCTACATATTTGTACCTCTATATCACGCTCGCTGTTGGGAGGCCTGTAGTACAGCCCCAACATTGTTACCACACCCTTCCTAATTCTGAGCTGTGTCCATATTGCCTCAATGCTCGAGTCCTCCATAGTGCCCTCCTTCAGCACAGCTGTGATATCCTCTTTAACCAGTAATGCAACTCCTCCACCCCTTTTACCTCCCTCTCTATCCCGCCTGAAGCATCTATATCCTGGGATATTTAGTTGCCAATCTTGCCCTTCCCTCAATCAAGACTCAGTAATAGCAATAACATCATACTCCCAGGTACTAATCCAAGCCCTAAGTTTATCTGCCTTACCTACTACACTTCTCGCATTAAATCAAATGCACCTCAGACCACCTGTCCCTTTGCGTTCATCATCTGCTCTCTGTCTACTCTTCCCCTTAGTCACACTGACTTCATGATCTCGTTCCTTAGGGACGTGTTTATGAACACCAGACTGGGATATCACAGCAATTACAGAAAAGTGATTCCGAGATGGACCAGACTGGCAGCTTAGTGTTCCTTGGTATAGATGCTATAGGAATGGGAGGCGGGTGGGGGGAGGTTCAAGAGAGGAGGGGGAATGGCATTTTCGGTTAACAATAACATTACAGCTGTAATTAAGGAGAACATTCCTGGAAGAATGTCCAGTGAAGTTATTTGGGTGGAGCTGAGAAATAAGATAGGGATGATCACCTTATTGGGATTGTACTATTACACCTCCTCTTCCCTTCTCCTCTCTTCCCCCCCCACCAAGCAGTCAGTGGGAAATTAAGAAACAAATTTCTAAGGAGATCTTGTATCTGTAAGAATGATAAGGTTGTAATGGTAAGGCTTTTTAACTTTCCAAACATAGACTGGGACTGCCATAGCGTTAAGGGCTTGGCTGGAGAGGAATTTGTGTGTACAAGAACATGTTCTTATTCAGTATATAGATGATCCCACTAGAAAAGGGGTAAAACTTGACCTTCGCTTGGGAAATAAAGAATGGCAAGTGACTGAGGAGCACCTTGGGGTCAGTGACCATAATTCTATTAGTTTTAAAATAATTATGGAAAAGGATAGATTGGATGTAAAAGTTAAAGTTCAAAATTGGAGGCTATTAGGCAAGAACTTTGAAAAGTTGATTAGGAGAGTCTTTTCGCACGTAAAGGGGGAGAAAGAGGGAAGCCTTGAAAATTGAGGGAACGAGAGTCCAGAGGCAGTATGTACCTATTAATGTGAATGGCAAGGCTGGTAGGGGTAGGGAATGCTGGATGACTAGAGAAACTGAGGATCTGGTCAAGAAACAGGAGGATGTAAATGGCATGTATAGACAGCTGGGATTGAGTGAATCCCTTTGATTATAAGGGCATTAGGAGAATGATTTAGTTGTGAATTATAGGAGGAATGATGAAGTTTGCAGATGATATCAAATTTGGTTACGTGGTGGACAGTGTAGAAAGTTATCGGAGTACATAGCCTCAAGATTAGAGGGAGCAGATTTAGGACTGAACTGAGAAGGAATTTCTTCACCCAGAGGGTTGTTAATCTGTGGAATTCCTTGCCCAGTGAAGTAGTTGACGCTACTTCAGTAAATGCTTTTTTAAAAAAAGGTAGTTTTTTTTGAACAATAAAGGAATTAAGGGATACAGTGAGAACGTGGGTAAGTGGATCTGAGTCCACGAAAGGATCAGCCATGATCTTATTGAATGGCGGAGCAGGCTCGAAGGGCCAGATGGCCTACTCCTGCTCCTAGTTCTTGTGTTCTTGTGTATAATGGGACCTTGATCAGGTGCGCAGAGGCACGGCAGATGGAGTTTAATTAGATAAATGTGTGGTGTTACATTTTGGTAAGGCAAATTTGGGTAGGACTTAGCCATAATGTTAGGCTCCTGGGAAGTGTTCCTGAGCAGAGTCCTTGGGGTGCTGTTTTGCAGTTCCTTAAAAGTGGAGTCTCTGGTAGATAGGTCAATGAAGAAGGCATTTGGTACACTTTCCTTTTATTGGTCAATGCTTTGCGTAAAGGAGTTAAGATGTCATGTTGTGGCTGTACAGGACGTTGTTCAGATCACTTTTGGAATACTGCGTTCAGTCGTGGTCTCGCTGCCATAGGAAAGCTGTTGTTAAACATGAAAGGATGCAGAAAAAGTTTACAAGCATGTTGCTGGGATCGGAGACTTTGAGCTATAAGGAGAGGCTAGGGCTGAGGTGTAACCTTTATAGAGGTTTATAAAATCATGAGTGGCATGGATAAGGTGAATAGCCAAGGTCTTTATCCCAGTGTAGGGAAAGTCCAAAACTAGAGGGCATAGGTTTAAGGTGATGGGGAAAGATTTAAAAGGGACCTGAGGGGCAACTTTTTCACACAGTGCTGAGTGTATGGAATAAGCTGCCAGTGAAAGTGATGGAGGCTGGTACAATTACATTTAAAAGGCATCTGGATAGATGATGTGAATAGGAAGGGTTTGGAGTGATATGGGCCAAATGCTGGCAAATGAACTGGATTAAGTTAGGATATCTGGTTGGCGCGGAGGAGTTGGACTGAAGAATCTGTTTCCATGCTGTACAAACCAATGACTCTAGGATCTAGTAGAGACCTTTAAAATCATTCAATAGGGTAGAGGTAGAACCCGCTGTCTTACAGGGAAACGGTTCAGAGCAAAGACTACAGTTGCAAATAGATCCAGACTATTGCGAGCAGAAATCAAAGTATTTTTTCACACGATGTGAAAATCTGGGCCTATTACCCTTTTTTTAAAAAAAAAACAACAACAAACAAACCTTTGGCTATTGAGCAAATTGTAATTTGTTGATGCTAAGATTATTTGCTCCTTGTGTCATTGCAGCATTTGGAGATGTGAGATAAAGCGAGATGAGTGAAACTGAGGTACATATCATTGTGGATCTTTTCTTTTTAAAAGAAAAAGATTGAGGTGCTGAATGACTACTTCTCTCTCCCAGGTGTTTATTTCTACAAATTTAACAGAAGAATATATTCATTGTCGTAAGTCTATTTTTGAGAATTGGATAGTATCAAAGACTGTGTGTCAATTTCCTCAATTTAATGAGGAGGCATAAGTAGGCAAGATTTAAGGAGCTGTTGGAAGTTAACTAGATGTTTTAACCACTTTTTTTAATGTACAGATCAAGTATGAAGAATAAGTAACTTTATACGTAATACTATTCCATAGGTCAACAGCAGACCCAGGATGGTGGCGATACAAAATGGCATATGAAATTGCAGCCTGCAACTGTAACTCCTGTTACAGTAGCTGTTGGCAACATTGCCAATGCTACACTGGGCACTGTTAGCCCTAACAGCATCACGCAAGTACAGCTCCAACCAGCTAGTGACCAGGATGTTCAGCCTGGGAAAAGGCTAAGGAGAGTTGCATGCTCATGCCCTAACTGCAGAGATGGAGAAGGGAGGTGAGTGAAGAAACGAAAATTCTACCTTTTTTACTTTCCTTAATTCCTTAATGTTGAATTTCTAAAGGATATATTAATAAAGTTATTTGTATATGGTGAGTGTTCTGTAAAATATGGTACCAAAAGCTCATTTTTGGCATAGAGTGGGAAAGAATGTTTGTTTGTTTGTTTGTTTGTTTTTAAATGCTGTGTTTTCAATACTCATTAAAACGCAGTTCAAAAACCGCCATTACAGTTTACTTTCCATTTTGTGCAGTCCTCGTCACCAACGCTAAAACCACCGTATCTCCCTTAAAAATAATTCTGAAGTATGCATGCTCTGTAACCTCATGTCTGTATAATCAGATGAGATATGATCTTATTAAATTGGGAAGCTCCTTGTTGTATTTGTAAATGGTTGCAAATATAAATCTATATTAAATGTAAGACAGTTGAGAATCATCCCCTTTTTTTCAGGAGGTATTAGGAAGAATGGGTAAAGTTGGCAAAATATTTCAATCTTCCAGATCCAAAGATCCAAACATCCAAACATTGGGCTAACATTAAAGACTCATTGCTCAGAATCTGAAACATTTCAGAGCGGTGAATGAATGTAAATAATTTGGCTTCTGCCAAAATGTTGAGATTACAGAGATGAGGACTGGCAAGACCATAGAAGAATATAAACAAAGCTTATCATTTTTCATTGTGTGGGGTTGGGAGAGAATGTAAAGCAGTGAGGGTGAGGTTCAGGTACTAGATTTCCAAGTTTAAGATGAGCTGTTAGTGGAATAGAAGTTTTAGAAAATGTACAATGAGCATCATTGCTGAGCTGCAGTGAGGAACTGAACAAAATACTGAACACCACAACCAAGCATCGGATACAAGTCAGAAGGTATTCTGCACAAACTGGCCAGAGTGCGCAGTCATACAGCGCAGAAACGGACTCTTCGGTCCAACTCGTCTGCGCCGACCAGACAAGACAATCTGACCTAGTCCCATTTGCCAGCATCCGGCCCATATCCCTCTTACCCTTCCTATTCATGTACCCATCCAGATGTCTTTTACATGTTGTAATTGTATTCACCTCCACCATTTTCCTCTGGCATCTCATCCCATGCACACACACACCACCCTCTGCGCGAAAAGGTGATCACGGATCCATGGAAAGTTTTCAAATCCTGGAGGCGGTGAAAAGTAGATCCATAAGTCAAGAAACCCAGTTTTGTGCAAAAACTGGAGAAGTGTGGGCCTTTTGGTCTAAACAAGCTGAGGTGATCTCGAAAGATATGTTAGAGAATGTAAAAATTAAAGTTTAGACCTTTGTGGAGAGTCAGTCACATGAAATAGAAGCTAAAACCCTGGATTTGTTGAAATTTGTGATTGAAGAGACTATGGGCTCCCATCAATATATTGAGCAAAGAAAGGACTTAATTGTACTTGTATTATAGCGTATGTAGGCAGAAGCCCAGTCACTAACTTTTACCATGCTGAAATGTTTCCGATGCTGAGCAATGAGTTTGTTAAATTTGTGCATATGTAATAGTTGTACCAGAATTGGATGAGATTAGATTTGTTTTATTAAACAAGTTGAAACCAAAGTGTGGACTTCATGTGACAAGTGTTGCTGTAGCAAATAATACAGATGTATTTAAGGGGAAATTAAGTGTGAGCATATGAAAATGGGTTATGTTGCGTGTTAGATGGGCACTGACTGGAGGATGCTTGAGTGGAACGTGAATGTCAACATGGATTGTTTGGGACAAATGACCTGATTTCCTGTACTGTATATTCTATTTAATTGAATATAAATTCAGTTCAGAAGAGTTAATCTAAAACAAGTAAATAAGCTTTGAACAATTGCATGCACTGTCTGTAAGCAAGCTCTTGTAATATGGGCCCTTCTTCCTTCTGGCTCCTCCAGTCTAAATGCTATTAATACATGTTTACAGGTCTTCCATTCTAGAAATTATAGTGAAAAGCTTGATGCTGGAAACCATAGTCTGTAGACTGTTTATTGGGATCTAGCTTTTTTGAAGTGGTTTATGCTGTTAAATCAAGTGATTGATGTCAGGCTTATTTTCTTGGCAACTATTTTCAGCATAATCCAGGAGTTTCTTTCATTTGCAATCAATTATTTAAAACATTTTCTTGAGAACCTGTTGGCACTACCTCCGATTGTCCACAATAAACTTTTGGAATGGAAAATAGCCTATTCAGCTATATTGAGCCTGCTTGGCCAATGTTAGATTATCCATCCCATGCGTCTCAATTCCATTTATCTCCCTTTACTTCAAATCCCTAGACAACTGTGCCTAACAAAAATCCACCTCTATCAGGAAAATTCCAATTATCCTAACATTCACTGCCTTTGGAGAGGTTTTCAAGGATATTAAAAATCTGGGATATGCAACTTGTTCCTTTTTTTATATTAAATATAAAAATGAATAAATTTGTCAACTGAAATGAAACCAGCTTTGAATCTGTCATGCCAACTCATAACTTTGTTTTTGTTACTTGGTATCTTTTAAGCGTTATAAGTGTATGCGGACTGAATAGGAATTGTATATTGCACTAAAGCATGAGGCTATGCTAAATGTCACAATGACTGCTTTTTAGCATTCTGGTATATAGCTGTTTGTCTCCAGTGCTTTGAACTATAACTGAAGATAATTATTAAAAATTGATAATGCAGTCTAGTAGCGACATACTAAATGCTGAGGAGATGACTTGCATTTTTGCTGGGGAGACCAGAGTTCAAATAAAGTCTGGACTGGTTTCTATAGGGGGCAGATTTTGCCATTGATTGTATAAATGTGCCATCTGGTGTCATTTCTGGTTACATGGTTGAAGTATATCTTTGAGTAGGTTCTTGCAGTGTTCCTGATTAAAGCCAAAAGCGCCACCTGTACATAGTTGTGTATTTGAAACAAAGTTGAGAGAATATTTCAGGTGGAATTGTATCGCAACGTATCTGTGTGCAATGAACTTTACTGCTTTTATACCTCAGAATTGTCTAGATGTGAAGAGGATTCACTTTCAGGAAATGATTTAAAAAAAAAAAACAAAATAAAAATTGAACGTGAAATTGGTTATATTATGGAAGGATTGTAGTTGCAGTCATAAATAGTTATGATTCTGCTGATGTTTATCTGGTTCTTTAAATTTAGATTTCATCAACTGCTGCTAGAAATCCCCTCATATGTCCTGCAAATATTCTGTTTTGAATATATTCAGTAGTTATTAGGAAACAGTTGATTAATTAAATGGCTGGTCCATTAAAAATCCACACTGAGCAGCTTATCACAAGTGTTTTTATAGAATCCCGACAGTGTGCAAACAGGCCATTCGATCAGTCAAGTCCACACCAACCCTCCGAAGAGCATCTGACCCAGACACGACACCCCCTTACCACATCCCTGTAACCCTGCATTTTTCACCCTCATTTCCCATGGCCATCTCACCTAGCCTGCGCATCGCTAGACACAATATGGGGAATTTAGCATGGTCAATCCACCTAACCTGCACATCACTGGACTGTGGGAGGAAACCCATGGACATGGGCAGAAGGTGAGGCTAGAATTGAACCCGGTGCTATGAGGCAGCAGTGCTAATCAGTGAGCCACTGTGTTGTGTACCACTTTTTATAATGGTTTATTACCACCATCCTGAAATGGGTGGAAATTTTGCCCTTTCAAGGCAGAGCAAGCACGAGACTAGTTAATCTGTGTTTCCAGGTCCCAACTAAACTAGCAATGGTTCCTGGGGTTTCCCACTGGATATATGACACACATTTTCTGGAGAACTGAACAGCTTGGAGTGCTGTAAAAATCCTAATTTCACCTGTTTGGAATCACATTCGCTTCTAATGCTTCAGCAATCTATTGAGAAAGAAACTTTATTGTTGGGTACTGCATTATTTTCACAAAGGGTGACTGACTTGCAGAAAATGTTGGAATGCTTTAATTTTTTCTTTTGGAATCTCCCAATTGTGATTTGTTTAAATAGGAGTTCATCTGAACCAGGGAAGAAGAAACAGCACATTTGCCACATGGAGGGTTGTGGCAAAGTCTATGGGAAAACTTCCCACTTACGGGCACATCTTCGCTGGCACACTGGTGAGAGACCATTTGTGTGCAACTGGCTGTTCTGTGGGAAACGTTTCACCCGGAGTGATGAATTACAGAGGCACAGAAGAACTCATACAGGTTAGTATCACAGACGTGGTACAGTGAAAAACATTATTTTGGTCCTGGTTCTTATGGCACAGGCTCTTTAAATGAGCGCTATTACACACTATTGATCTTCTCCTTTTTGTCCCAAACCCTTAAACGTCCGAACAATCGTCCAGTGCCCTCTTGAATGCCTCATTTGAACAACCACACACTGTAGGCAGTGCGTTCCATACCTTGACTCTTTGCTCTGTGAAAAGGTTTTCTCCCCTCTTATTTGCTGCTTTTGCACAAACTTCAAATCTGCGCTGTCTTGTTCTCAATCCATTTAAGAGCAGCAACAATTTCTCTGTCCAGTCCACTGGTAATGACACTGGAAACCTCTATCAGATCACCTCTTAGCTTTTTTTCTTTGCCTAACCTTTTAAATCTGTTCTCATAACTGAAATTTTTCATCCTGACACCATTCTTGTATATTGCTTCTGTATTCTCTCCAATTCGTTGACAACCCTTTCATTAAGTGGGACTCCATTGTACATATTACTCCAGCTGAGGTCTGACAAATAGCTTGTCCAAATTCAACACCACCTCCTTGAAAATAAAGAATGGGAAGAGTCTTTAGTTGCCATTCAAGACCTGGATGTTTTCATTAGTGAATATTACTACAGATAACAAAAACAAAATTGCTGGAAAGGCTCAGCAAGTCTGGCAGCATCTGAGAAGGAAAAAACAGTGTTGACATTTCGGGTCCGGTGACCCTTACTCGGAATTCCAGTTAACGAAATGTTAACTCTGTTTTTTTACCTTCTCAGATGCTGCCAGACCTGCTGAGCCTCTCCAGCAATTTTGTTTTTGTTCCTGATTTACAGCATCCGCAGTTCTTTCAGGTTTTATTTATTACTGCAGATAATCTAGCGTTCAACCCTATACTCCCTTTCTCTTTGGCTAATTCATTCTTCATCCAGTCTGGGGGAAAGGTAGCTTGAAGTTGTTATTAACCTGGCTCTCACTAATGTTACCTGACAATATCCCACCAGGAGATGTGATTAAAGTGCCAGGGACTTTGTTACAGTACGTCCTGTCATCAAAATAAAATAATACATTCCCCAAGGAGCTGCTGGGAGCTCATGAACATCCAGCACAAACTTTAACAATGAAGTTCTGGGGTTAATTTATTTTTTTAAAAACTTAATTGTCTTCATTGCTTTACACAAGCTTAAAGCTAAATCAGATACAGCATTCTAATGCATACTATGCAGCAATCTCTTTCGTCTAACTTTTTAATCCTATTGCATTATATGAATTCCTTCTGTGGATTTCATTTAGAAGCATCAATAAGTGTCTTGGAGTCTAATTCTTCAGTAAATTGGGGTGTTTTCTGTTTTGGTTAAACTTTTGATTGACTACACAGTAATACCAAAATAACTACCTGTATTTGAAGGTTCCTGAAATGTTTTTGCATGGTAGTTGAATGTTCAGATTAGATCTATGTCTGAAAATGTGTGCAGATTTGTCTAGACCAGAGGAGCATTGCCATCAAACAAAGCCACTTCAGTTGTTATCCAATGACAATGGTGAAAGATGTTAGTTCAGAGAGATGTTGGAAACTGGCACTTATACTGTCAAGTTTTATAATTTTGAATGCCAGCATGAAGCCCCTTGATGCTCTGTTTTCCCTAAAATAAATAATCTGTTTGATATTCATGGGTTGAACTGAAAGGTGTAAATTTTGTTGTACAAATGTATTTTACTCCAGTAATATTGAATTTTTAATCCATGTATCTATCATCTTGAAGTACAACTAGTCAGTGTCAATTTTCCGAATGTATGCTGTCAGCATTCCAGTAGATTCTCCAAACTTGGATCAGTGAGCATTTAAACAGACAAGTTCATGTACTGAATTTTAACTGCTATTCTTATTCACTTTAGTTTAAGTTAATACATCAAGCCATATAAGGATATAAGTGACCAAGTGCAAATTGGGTCACAGGCAGCAAGTTTCCAAGGGTTAGCATGTGAGACATGAGCCAGGAGTACATTGGAATAGTCTAAAGGAAATGAGGTATCAGTGAGGATTTCAGAAGATGAAGTGCTGAGGCAGGTGCAGTTGAGTGATGTCACACGGATGGAAATAAGATATTTCAGCCATGGCATAAACATGAAGTTGGGAGCTCACGGAGTCCTGTAGTGCGGAAATAGACCCTTTTTGATCCAGCAAGTCCATGCTGAATATAATCCCAAACTAAACTAGTCCCACCTGCCTGCTGCTGGCCCATATCCCTCCAAACCTTCCCTATTCATGTAGCTACCCAAATGTCTTTTAAATGTTTTAATTGTACTCCCATCCACCACTGCCTCAGGAAGTTCATTCCACATGCAGACCACCCTCTTTTTAAAAATCACTCATCTTGGGTTTAATGTGACATCAAGGTTGTGAACTGACTATGACTGTAAAATATTAAGTTTCAATTGTATAATTAAATAGGTAATTTAGATTTTGGAACATTTGCACTGCAATTTTATCAATTTTGTCCAAGAATGGTTAAAGTATTTAACTAAGACTGAACAATTGCTCTAATAATGCCACTATCAGCTCCTAATCTGAAAAGGCACTGAAGACGTAACAATCAATCAAATGTGCTTAGTTTAGTGAGACCTGTGGGATCAAACATGTCCTTGACTATTGCCCTTGAGACAATATGTCACCTTCTCATGTCTTAAACTGCTTGTAAATGTCTAGTTACTGAAGGCTAGCTTTGAAGGAATTATTCGATTTATGAATTATGTTATGTAAAACAGGTTTTGGTTCCAAGTTATTCTGTAAGGGCATCAGAAATTTAAAAAGTGATGGTTTCTGCTTTATCACATGGCAATACTGCAAAATTTTCACAGCCTATTCTAATCGGCCCTCTATTGCTGGTATTGAAATGTTGATAAATACCTTAAAGTCAATTTAAAAGGTATTTGTTTTTTAAGTGTAATCTGAAACATCCCTTCTCTGTTATTGATAAACACCTTGTGCTTTGAAAGGAGTAGCTGGTATCAGTTAACACTGACCCTGTCACTAAAAGATAGAGATTGACTTTTCTGTATTATAACATGGACAAAAGCATACTGTTACACTCCAGGATTTCCTTGTGCAGTTTTACACTTGTTCAAATTGTAGGAAGCCACCTTCACAAGATGATTCCAAATTATCACTAATCCAGACTCTTGTTTTCATAGTTTATATGGATCTACAATTCTGCTAACAATATGATTCTATTATTGTCCCTAAAATGATTTTTTTTTTCAAAAATGGCAGTGATAGCGAACACAGTTAACTCGAACAGCAATTACTAGAAGTGAGCACCACACGGATTTAGCAAAGACAAAATACCCTTTTTCCACAATGGATTAATGTTTTTGTGGCACTACCACTGTAGATGAGTAGATTGAAAGCAAATTCACCAACTCAAAATGGGGCATTTGTAGGGGGCTGTGGATTGGAAGCAGTAGAATTGTATTTCACTACAGTCTGTAGCATCAAAACCTAGCATATCTCTCATTACAATCAAGCCGTTGAACCAACCTTGGTTCAATGAGGCATATTTCAAAGCTATTAGGAGCACTTGGCATACCTAAAACTGAACTTCTTACTGTTTAAGACTACAGTACATATGCATGCTAAGTAGTGAAAGGAGCCCAGAACTAAGTGATCCCACAGCACCAAATCAGATCAAAGCTGTGCAATTTGACCACATCGTTCACGGATGGTGGGTGGGCAATTAACAAGCCAGAAAAGAAGGCTGACTTGTGGCAGAGTATGTGAATACAAAAAAAAAGAAGCTGAAGCGTTTGCAATTATCAGCCAGAAGTGCTCAGAATTATGCATTACAGCCTCACGTATGCAATGTTGCTCTACAAAATGTGAGAGGAGATTGATTGATTGCCTGCCTCTGACATCAAAGTGGCATTTGTGACTAAATGTGAAAGTAAAGGGCCCTAACAGATTTTGAAGTCGATTGGAATCTGGATAGGGTGGCATTTGATGATACTGACCGCTGTTTGGAAACCCATCTGCTGTAAAGGATCGGTGTGGTTGTAGCAGGCCCAGTCATCTCAACCCAAGCATATCACTGCAGATATTACTCAGAAAAATGTCCTACATTAGCCACCTTCCGTCATGATGTTAGAAGTAAGGATGTTCACTGACGAATGCTCAGTGTTCAGTTCCGTATGCAACTCATCATAATAAAACAGTGTGTCTGCATGCAGCAGAATCTGAACAACTTCTGAGATTAGGCTGATAAATGGCAAGAAATATTGGACCATACAAGTGCCAGGCAGCAAGCAACTCCAACAACAGAATTCTGATCATCTCCCCGCTGACCTTCAATTGCGTTACCATCACTGAATTCTCCAACTGTCAAAGGCTTCAGGAATTACCGTTGACCAGCAACGTGTACTATCACTGAAAGGGCAGGTCAGAGTCTGGGAATTGTGACCGGTAACACTCTATCTGACTTTTTCCAAAGCCTTCCAGCATCTGAAAGATAGAAGTCAGGTGTGTGATGCAGTGCTTTGTTTTTTGTTCAGATGAGGGCAGCTCTGACAACACTTGACTCCTGACAATAAGCAGGAAAAACCAGCTGTCTTGATTGGCACTGCATCCAGCACCTTAAATATTCATATCCTCCACCACTGTGTATAATCTACAAAATGCATTACAGGTAACTTACGAAAACGTCTTCAACATTTCCCAATCCTGTAATTTGTACTGCCTGGAGTGTACAGGGGCAGCAGGAATATGAGAACAAGACCATTCCAGCTTTTCTGAAATTCACACACCAGTCTGACATGGAATGTTGTCACAATATCTTCATTGTCACTCGGTCAGAATCCTGAAACAACCTTCCTAACAGGACTTTGTATTTATCTAGACCCCGTAGAAGAATTGTTCAAGAAGGCTTCTCAGAAGATGGGTAATAAAAGCTTCACCAGCCATGTTAACTCTCATCCCATAAACAAATTTAAAATAAAACCAGTGATTTCAG